GCATCTGCACCGCGGCAAGGTGCCTACCATTATCAGAGGAAAACTTATGCGACGTCCAAATATCACGTGAAGGTCTTCATAAAAAGGACATACTTTTTTATGTATTTTAGTGCTCATTATGTCCCATTTAATATTCATTAAATTTGGAGTTTTTTCGCCAATTTTGTTGTAAACCCTTTGGGCTGTTGGTTTCTAAAAGCAGATCGTATAATGTAAAATGATGAATTGACAAAAAATATATCAATATATTTTCAAAATGATCCGGATTCTCTTTTATTGCGTCCGCTATATTTATCAAAAGGTCTTTCGTTTGGCTTTTTAGAGAGCGATCTTTTAATTGGAATTAGTTTCCAAAATAAAACAATTGATATTCCAAATAGAAAATTGATTTATGGGGTTAATAAAACAGAGAAAATAAATTTTCTCAATGAATAATTAAATTATACAAACGCCTTGGGACAAAAAAGTCCAGAGGAACCCGTCAATCATAATGCTAGCAAAAATGATACTAAGGATAGAAAAATAATTAAGCAAATGTTCACAACATTTTAAAAATAAATAATGTTGAAATTTCTATCGAACTTGCTGATACAATAATGAAACGAAAGATATCAACATTCCATTGCTAAGAGAGGATGATATTAAAATAATAAATACAGCTCATCAATTATCATTTACCATTTAGAACAGATATTTAAGCAGAAATTGGAACCGAGGATGACAAATCTATATGGTCCAAACAATATCCTTACTCTATATCTGCAAATAATTTTGTTAATAGGGAAATCGAAAGTTTACTCGTAAAAGAGATTATACGTCATAGTAAAAACCCGTATAATTATCCCGTTTGCGTCATTACAAAGAAGAAATAAATGAAGATGGTAGTCCGAAATTGAAAATGATCATCGACTTTAAAAAAATTTATGAAAAAACAGTAACCGACAGGTACCCAATTCCTAATTCCGATATGATACTTTTTAATTTGGGAAAATCAAAATACTTTCCACAATAGATTTATAGCCTGGATTTAATAAGATAATGATGGAAGAAAACGACATAGATAAAACAGCGTTTTCTATAAATAACGGAAAGTATGCATACCTAAGGATGCCATTTGCACTTAAAAAAGCTCCAAGTATATTTCGGAGAGCAATGAATAATATTTTATATGAATGTATTGAAAATTTTGTTACGTATATGTTGACGACATAATAGTATATTCAAAATCTCTAAAGGAACATATACCTTATCTGAAATATATGGTACAAACCCTCGAAGAAGTCCATATGAAAATATCTATTGAAAAATCAAAATTTATAGAAACCGAGGTTGAATTTTTAGGTACGTAAGGTCATAAAAACTGATCCCAAAAAAGTAAAAACAATAAAAAATTAAGCATATCTCAAGATATTACAACAACTTAGAGGATTTTTAGGATTATCGGGATACTATAGGAAATTTATAGGAAATTGTACAACAATAGCTAAACTACTAACAAAACATTTAAAGGAAGAAAATGGTAAAATATCGCAGTATATGTCCAAAAAAAAAACAATTATTAAAATGAAAAGATGGAGAGCTTTCATTGAGGAGTTTTCMCAAAAATAATTTATAAACCAGGAACAACAAATGTAGTAGCTGACGCATTATYAAGACAAGTATTAAATAATTTAACTAGTTCATGTGAGTCGAGTGACTCAAGTGATTCACTAATAGAAACTCAAAATTCCGAAGAAAGTAGTCATGAGTGTCAAATTCATGAAGCAAAAAACATTTTAAGCAACATATTGATAATGAAGAAAGAATTGCTGTCTTAGAGACTATTTCTTCTTTTAATAATAAACGTTTTTTAATTGAATATAACAGACCTGAAAATATAATTTATATTTTAAAAGAATATACGAATCCAAAAGTAGTTACAGGAATATTTTACATATGTTTAGGATTATTTATATTAATTAAGTTTATTTTCTAAATAATGTTAAGTCTGATCTGGCAATACTGTTTTATCTAAGCGTTCTACTTCTCATATCTCTTTATTATTCATTTCTGTTTGTTATTATCTTTATTTGTWAATATTTCGAAGTTACGGTATTTTAAAATCCTTTGTACTCCTATAAATACCGGAGGATAAGTAAGTACAACCTTCTTCTACTCTGATTGTAACTCAGTGCTGATGGTACACATCTCAATAAAGTATTGAGAACTCTACCCGCTGGTAAAATTAATTATTTAACATTTTGGTGCCTCCTGTGAGGACAAATATTTTTAAATTTATTTTCTAATTATTTGTTATTGCGGTTGTGTGGTTTCATGGCGGAACTTAATTGGCGATCATCGGCGGTGAAAGCAATAAAGCGCATACATGCACGTGTCTCGGATGGTGCCATGGAAAGCCGTGATATGTTYCACCTTCAACAAGAGCTTAAGTCGCTTGAATCACACTTTGAGCGYTTCATGGAGAACCATAATCGTCTGGTTGGATTAGCTACGTCCACCGAGATGGGGCCACATGATGCACTTTTAGAATCAGTAGAGGAGCTGTATACTGCTTCATGCAGCAGGCTTAATCGTCTTATCGCATCGTCAAGGGTTGAGTCTAAAGTCGCTGACGGAACGCAAAATTGTCCCACGACCTCTCTGGATGGGCATTTGGTTGATCTCAAATTAGACCCGTTAGCTATCCCGTTGTTTGATGGAGACATGTGCAAATGGTTAGCGTTCAAAGATGACTTTGAAACACTGGTACATAATTCGACATACCCAGAAGCGTTTAAGTTGGGAAAACTTCGGCAGGCGGTCAATGCGGCTGCTGTTCCTTTAATTGGTGGAATATATTTAGGTGGCTATCAGGAGGTTTGGAAGGCCCTAAAGGACCGCTATGACAACAAGAAGCAGCTAGCGGAAATACACGTATCCCGTTTTCTTAACCTCAAAACCGCTACCCATGGGTCATCGCAATCGTTATTGACTGTTGTGGATACGGTGCATGAATCGCTGCGTGCATTGCGTGTTATGGACATCCCCATAAACCAGTGGGACGCATTGRCTGTACCAATCGTGGTGGCTAAGCTTCCAGCCGTAACTAAGCGTGATTGGTGTATGAGGTGCTCCACTACAGAGATACYACAGCTAGAAGATCTATTGAGATTTCTGGAAAGACGTGCTCATAGCCTAGCTCCTGAACCATCGGTCTCATTAATGGTTTGCCGTCAGCAACGACYAYTGAGAGCGCATGTGGCTACTACAGATGCCGCTGTGTGTGCACATTGCGGGTTAGCGCATCGAATTGCCAAATGTCCTGCAATATTGGCTCTTAACATCGAGCAACGATTTGAAGCCCTCAAGAGATTGAAATTGTGTTACAACTGTTTACGTTCGAGTCATTCCTACCGTCAGTGTTCGTCTGGTAATTGTCGAAATTGTGGTCGCAAGCATAACAYGATCCTATGTMGAGACAAGTTCAACAAGACGTCAACGTTTCCTTCTACAACAGCGCCAGCCGTATGCAATGCGGTACCTGAGGAGGTGCCGACAACCACAACAACATGACTAGCCGCACCAGCAAGGTCTCTCGCTGCCAATCCAAAGCCGATAACTCTGTTAGCAACAGCACGTGCATATGCCTTTGGAGACGCATCGGTACAGCGAGTAGCACGAATTCTGTGTGATCCCGGATCACAGGTTAGCTTTATAACGGATCGTCTTGCAAACTGTTTACAGCTGTATCGACGAAAATGTGACTTGATGGTAGAAGGAGTAGGTGCGATCATCAACACTAGAGTGAAAGGCAGCGTTACGTTCACTCTGAGATCAACAACATCTAATTTCGAAATGCTAATTGATGCACTGGTCTTATCGTCCATTACTTCACAGACTCCAGCAGTGAAGATTGACATGACCCAATGGCCATACTTAAGAGGCTTAGATTTGGCGGACAACCAGTTTGGTACGCCTGGAATTATCGATGTTCTTATTGGCGCGGACGTGTGGGGGCGTCTCATAGAAGGTGGAGTCATCGRTGGAAGACCAGACGAACCTTTTGCCCAGCGTACCCGCTTCGGATGGGTGGTGTTTGGTCCAGCAGCAGTGACCGTTCCTRCAAAGRAATCATTGCTCACACTCACCACTTTGCTAGACAGGGAGGACCACCGGTTGGAGGAACTGGTGTCAAAGTTCTGGCAAATGGAGGAAATAGCGGTGGT